AGAGATCTCCCACTTCGCTCATCACGATGGGCTGGACTCAAACAAGTATCATGAATAAGTAACACACTTAATTCATACAGACAAGTACTTCTTGCGACCTGCTAGCATCTAGATCTATAATATATTTCAAACCTATTAAGGTTATTCTAAAGCTCTATGTAGAAATCCGATCACATTCGGAAAGGATTCACTACTAACATGGCGATCTTATTACTCGCTATACCCTAGACTTCACCCGCTACTTCAGTAGCTTGTTATTTGATCCTTCATCCGCAAAAGAGGTGAACTCGAGTTCATGTATAACATTGTATTCATAATTACACTCGATACCCTTATGGTAGTGTATGGTCGACCTATGAATACAAGTTAAATTACTAAAAAATTTAGTTGACTTCCCTTTCTACTCGAATCTTTCTATTCCAAATCAACTCTTTCCAAGACATGCACTGCATTGCCGAATCACTCATGGCTATTAGTGACATGCAAAAGTAGCAATATTGATTGGTACTTCAAGAGACAGTAAAAAGTCAAGGGGTATTCCAATAAAAGTTAATATAATTTCTTTGGGATATGACACAATGAAGAAGAAGGTACTCATTCTTCCATTATCCTACTGGTCGTTAGCACACGTGGTATGAAACACATATTACAGTGTTCTCACCTTATATTGGTGTGTGTGTGTGTCACGATCGCAAAATCCCACATTTAGGATCGTGATGGAGCCTAGTCTCTAAGAATAGAAAAGCCCAACACATTATTAAGAATTTAACAAAAATAAACGATTAAGCTATTAATTTAAACCAATAAATGAAATAATAAAAACATAACGGAACAACAGTTACATAATCCCAAAAATCGGTAGTACAGAGTCATAACCTCTACTGAAATATACTAGGAATCTCTATTACAATATTGTTCGGAACAAAAAAAATAGTATCATATGATCACTAGAAAGTGACTCTGAGGCCTGCGAGCGTCAAGAAGGTATACCTTGAAGTCTCTGCGAAGGCTGCAGCAACTCACTAGCGTCCGGTACGGGCAGAGGTACCTGGATCTGCACAATAATGTGCAGAAGCATAGTATGAGTACACCACAATGGTACCCAGTAAGTATCAAAACTAATCGCGATGGAATAGTGACGAGGTCAGGTCAAGACACTTACTAGACATAGAAACTTGTGTAGAATATTAATATCATCTAACAACGAAAAATAAAACCAATAAATGACACAAAGCAGAATGATAATATAAGGCTAACAACGGAAGTAAAAGTCATAAATGACAACAAATAGTGAATGTGATAGAAACAAAAAATGATCAAATATAGCAAAAATACAAGTGAAATGCATTAAGAAAAACAATAACAGTTCAAACCAATAAGTTGTTCCAACATAGAATGTACAATAAGAATCACCCTGAGATATCACATCTCATATTCACAGTTCACAAGTCACAGTCACAATCTTCCTTATATCTCCGGGTGAACCTTGCATTTATTTTTAAAATATTTTTTTTTCGAAATAGCTTCACGCGCTTTATCCCCCTTATCTCGCCGCATGTGCTTCAAATGAAGTAATTTACATTACTAGCAACACGCGCATAAATCACCTTATCTCGCTACATGCTTATCAATATCACCACCCTTATACCGCCACATGCACATCTCATCACAACAAAATAATCAACTCGCACCACATGTGCTCATATACCACAATATTTTCAAAACAACAATATCAATATCACTACACACATAGCACACTGCTCAACCACAGTGTGTACAAGAATCTCAATAACAACAAAATAAAACGAGAAATAACTCAACAATGAAAGACATTACATGTAATAACAATCTCAATTAAATACATATAAGAGTAAACTCGACAATGAAAGATAGAACATGTAATAACAACTTCAACTAAAGTATATAAGAGTAAAGTCGACAATGAAAGATAGAATATGTAATAACAACTTCAATTAAAACATATAAGAATAAATTTGATCGAGAAAAATTGAACAAATAATAACAACTTTGATTAAATGATTATAAGTAACCTAAGAGTTTAAATCGGTCAATTTTTACATATAAGTCTATGTACACACTCGTCACCTCATGTACACGTCTTCCACATAATTCAAGTAGTGCAATTAAAGTGGAATTGGACTCAATCATACGGGTAGTTCCCTCACACAAGGTTGGGAAAGATACTTACCTCAACTAGGCCAAAAATAGCTTTTCCCTTAAAATTTGGCTCCGCACCGCTCAAATCTAACAAAAAAACCTTAATATCATCAAACATTGCAAGAAAAATTAATTTCGATTAATAAAGCTAAGATCTTTACACAATTCTCCAAAAAGTCAATAAACGTCAACTACGGTCTTGTCCGGTCAAAATTCGAGTCCAAGGGTAGATCTCGACTACCCATAACCCCACGAGTTTATATATATGTTTTGTTTTCAAATCCGAGTCCAATTCGTCTCTCCAATCTCAAATTTTTATTTTTATTTTCAAAAATAGACAAAATTCTCCAAAATTTCTCTTCAAATTTCATGGATTAAAGGTGAAATCTCATAAATAAATCGTGTAATATAACTGAAATTGATCAAAATCACTTACTCAATAGTTGTATATGAAAATCTCTCCTCAAAATCGTCTCCTACCGAGTCTAGAGATTCTAAAATATGATAAATGAAGCTAGGTCTAGTTTTTTAGCCCTTTTGCTCAGGTGCAGAAGTCACAATTGCGACCTGGAGTTCGCAATTGTGAACCCTCACAAATGCCGCGCTTGACAATCCAGGAAAATTTCACAAATGCGATACTGACTTTGCAAATATGATACTGACTTTGTAAATGCGAAGTTAGTCCTCTTCGCAAATGCGAGATACCCAGCTAAGGGCCACCCTTTGTAATTACGATCAAGGTGTCGCAAAATGTGATACCCGCGATCCTCTTCCAACTTAGCAATTGCGATGCTGATGCTCGCAATTGCGATAACCGAAGCACCAACACATCAAGAACCTAGAATGAGTTCAAACCAATCTAAAACACGTTCAGAACTCACCCGAGCCCTCAGAGCTCCACACCAAATATCAATACCAGTATAAAAATATCATATGAACTTGTTCGGATAATCAAAATACCAAAATAACATTTGGAACCACGAATCAGACATCAAAACACATGAAATTTCATAATGAACTTAAGAATCACTAGAATCATAATCAAGCGTCTGATTCCTATTATACCAACTCGGAATAACACCAAATTTTGCAGACAAGTTTCAAATAGCAAAACAGACCTATTCCAAGTCTCAAGAATAAAATCCAAATCCGATATCCATAAATTCAACCTACGGTCAAACCTAAGGAATTTCTAAATATTTAAATTTTTAACTTTCGAAAAAATTTAATTTCGGGCATACGCTCAAGTCCAAAATCATAATAAGAACTTATTGGAGCCATCAAAATACCGTTCCATGGTTGTTTCTATAAAAATCAAATCTCGGTCAATATTTCCAATTTAAACTTCTAAACGAAGAACCAAATGGTCTAAATCATTCCAAAATTTCCCGAAAAGAAACTAACCCTTCCCATGAGTCATAAACTACAAGTGCACATATGTGAAACATCAAAAGGAGAAACGGGGCTCAAATACATAAAACGACTAGCTGGATCATTACAGTTTATCTCATTCTTTTAATCATTTAACATCGTACAGATCTTAGTCTAGATACCTCCAAATGTCTAACCCGATTTTTTTACTTCAATAATCCTAAAGTCCATCTTTTTAGAGGAACTCGCATCTAGCTTACAAAATATGTTATAATCGAATGGTGAAATTCATGAGTCTGACTAGTTGTGAAGATTGACCTTTACAAATAAATATAACCTCATATTATCGAAGGTTCTATAAGGTCTCATCTCTTTATGATGCTTAATGTAAGAGGTGATTGCTCGTGTGAGAGAGCCAATCTCGCGACTTGTTCGACACACTTTAACAACAATACATCATCACATGCATACAAGATATAAGCACAAATTTAAGAGTCAAATATTTATGAGAATATTATAATAATCAAATTATTTTACAATACATAAATATGTTCATATCCTTCACAAACTAGAGCCATAACATATTTCTCAAACAGGTCTCTAGATATCGCCTTTGTAAAAGGATCAGCTCTCATGCTTCGCGTAGGAATGTACTATATATATATATATATCCACTTGCTACCATGTCTCTCACAAAGTTATACTTGATGTTAATATATTTGGTCTTGCCGTAATACTTAAAATCTTTTGTGTATCAATACTATCACAATGTAGAGTCATGGGACCTTAAGAGTTATTTGTAATTTCCAAATGCTCAAAGAATCTCTTCAATCAAATAGCTTCTTGTACTGCATATGCACAAGCCACAAACTCAGCTTCCATCGCTAAAAGAGCTGTACAAGTTTGTCCTTACTTTTCCATGAAATAACATCATCATTAAGTAAGAAAGCATAACTAGACGTTGATTTCCTCTCAAATATAAAATATTTCCACTATAACATACTGAATAATCTATGTTTCTCTTCAGGTATCTGAAAATTCTCTTTACAGATTTTCAATGATCTCTTTCAGGATTAAATTGATACATGCTAACCAGACCTATGGCATAATAAATATCTAAGTGAGTAAACACCATAGCGTACATCAAGCTCCCGACAACACTTGAATACAGAACTTGAGACAAGTCTTCCTTTTTATTTTCAGTCTTTGGACACATTTCAAGATTTAAGGTTTTACCTCTCGCTGTAGGAGTATCCATGGATTTGCAATTATTTATGCGAAAATGCTTCAAAATGTGACATCTCATGATTAAATCTCACTAACACTTCCATCCTCTAATTCATCATTGAACATATACCATTTGAGATGTCCTAAATATCTTATAAATATACATTTCTTGCCTTTTGGACCCAATTTTCCAAACTTGCTAAGATAATCTTTTACATATGCAGCACAACTCCACACTACTGGAAAATGGGCCTATGGCAACAACGGGAAAACCGTTGCAATTGATAGGTAACCATTGCCATAGATGTATTGGAACGGTTTAGTGACCGTTACATCTGCTCGCGTGCCAATAGATCTACAACAACGATTTTTGCGACGATTGACCACATCGTTGATATAGAGCTAGCTATGGCAACAGTTTTCCCTCTGTCTGAAGCAACGAGTATTTATTTCAACTGCAACAGTTTAAAACCGTTACCATAGAGTTTATACAACGATTGTAATCTGTAACCATATTATTTACTACAATGGTTGGAAACCGTTACAATATAATTTATGCAACGGTTACATATGCTATTGCAATGTTTATTTATAGCTATTGTAATGATTTCATTACTCTACCGTAACGGTTTTATTTCTATTGCATCGGTTTGAATTGCCAATTGCATCAGTTTATCACACTTTTTGGAACGGTTTGCAAGACCTATCGAAACGATTTAGAATGTCTATGGCAACGATTTTGTGCTTTTTGCAACGGTTCTATTAGGCTATTGTAAAAGTTTAATTGACATTACTACCTAGAAATATTTGTAATTATAACCTGGTGTGATGACCCAAAGGGTCATCTTGTATTTTAGAATTCGAATCCAGGTTTTGAGGCCTTGAAGACCTTATTTTCTTTCTCTCAATTTACGTGCACAGTCCGGGCACATTTTCGGAAAGATTTTATGTGAAATTTAAGAAAAATATTGAATCTGGCCTTTAAAATTGGTTAGAGTTGACTTCGGTCAACATTTTTGGTAAATGGACCTGGACCCGTGATTTGACAATCCCGTAGAGTCCATAGTAAAATATGGAACTTGGGCATATGCCCGGAATTGAATTCTGAGGTCCCTAGCTCGAGAAATGAAATTTTAAAGAAAATTGTTTGTTGGAAAATATAAGGACTTCTGAAAATAAAATGGTGTGTGATCTTGATGGTATCAAGCCGGTATTTTGGTTTTGGAGCCCGGTATAGGTTTATATAATATTTAAATCGAATCTGTGAAATTTGGTAAGAATCAGAGTTGATTTGATATAAATCGGACCCTAGGTTGAGAAAATAGAAATTTTGAACTATCTTATGAATTTCATGAGTTTTGGTGGTAAATTCATTGTTTAAGATGTTATTTTGGTGATTTGATCACACGAGCAAGTCCGTATGATATTTTTAAACTTGTGTGCATGTTTGGTTTGGAGCCCCGAGGGCTCGGGTGAGTTTTGGATAGGCCACAAAGTGTTTTGGGACTTAGAGAAAATTGGCTATTGCATATGGTATTGTTGCAGTCTCTGATCTCGCAATTGCGAGGTCAGGCTTCACAATTGCGAGCCTAGCAGTCTTGGCAATTGCAAGGGCTTTATATCAATTGCGGAGAAGCCCAGGCCTACCTTGTTCGCATTTGCGAACCTCCCTTCGCAATTGCAAAGTCATCAGGGAGGGGCCAGTCATCGCAATTGTGACAAAATGCTCGTAATTGTGAGAGGAGCAGACATGCATCAGGTTCGTAATTGCGAAGCCTATTTCGCATTTGCGATCAACACAATTGCAACATCTGCACTTGATCAAAACATCTTTTAGATGGGATTTTCACTTCATTCTTCAAAATTTCAAAACCTAAACTCCTAAGGGCGATTTTCTAGAGCAAGTTCTTTCCCAAATCATAGGTAAATGAATCTTAACTCTTTTTCTTCAATCTATTTCATCTTTTTACATGATTTCTTCTTAAAATCTAGGGTTTTTTCATGGGAAATTTGGTGTTCTTGTGTAGAAATTCAGAATTTTAAAATTTGGGAATTTGGACCTCAAATTGAGGTCGGATTTCAAAACCAATTGCATATTTCGGTTCGTGGGTGGATGGGTAGTTGTGTTTTGGTTTGAACTTTGAGTTTTGACCAACCAGGCCTGGGGTCGATTTTTGAATTTTTGAGGAAAACATTAGGAAATCTATATTCATGCATTAGAATTGGTTTATTTAGAATTTATTGATGTAGTAAATTATGACTTGATACAAGCGGATTGGAAGTGGAATTGAGAGGTAAAACGGTAATTGAGGCTTGATTTTGTCCGTGGAATTGAGGTAAGTGTTTGGTCTAACCTTAGCTTGAGGGAATATGAGTTGTGTCTTATTTGCTACATGTTAGTGTTGAGTACGACATATAGGTGTGGTGGCGAGTATCTATACGTTGGTGTCGAGCATGCCCATGAGTCTTATACCATGATTTGTTGTGACTCTTATTACGTACTATCCATGCTTAAATTGATGATTATCAATATTGAACAAGACTTATGATAATTTCTTGGTAACTAACCATTATTGGGTATTGGCTCAAGTTGAGATTTATTTTGTGAAGTAACTGTTGTAACGAGATTGGTTATAGCTGAATCTCTTCCCGAGATGCATTTGTTTCTAGTGTTGATTCCCTTACCGGGATGTATTTATTTCTATTGTTGATTCCCTTGCCGGGATGTTTTGTTTCTATTGTTTAGGTGAGGAAGAGTGTAAAATACGAAGGGTGATGTCATTCATGATATTGTGAGTGAGTGTTAATGCACAAAGGGTGATGCCGTGCCATGACTCTGAGAGTTAATGTACGAAGGGTAATACCATACCGTTTCTATTATTTCTTATGGTGAGGACGAGAGTAAAAGCATGAAGGAGATGTCGTGCACGTGTTACTGTTTCATTATTCCTATTGATACAAATATGGTGTTCATTATGCTTTTCGATTGAATTACTTTTAGAATTTGATATTTCCCGCAACGTGTTCCCCTTCCCATCTTTATATGTTATTTCCAGTTATTATTGTTCTGTTCGTATATGATTTAACTGCACAGGTTTATATGGTTGTCGTGTCATAGCCTCATCACTACTTCGCCGAGGTTAGGCTCGACACTTACCAGTACATGGGGTCAGTTGTACTGATACTGCACTCCGCAGTTTTTGTGCAGATCTCTATGCCAGACCTTGTAAATAGCTTGAGATAGCTGCCTTCATCCAGGGAGACCAAGGTAGATCTGCTGTCATTCGCAGAGCCTGAAGTCCCCGTTTCCCCACTTTATGTTTTCTGTTGTCTCTTCTATCTCGAGAACAGTTGTATTTCTTTCAGACTTATATTTGTAGTAAATCTTAGTCGTTCGTGGATTATGACACTAGATATATGGTGTAGTTACGTACTTGAGCTGTGGCACTATTATATCACTTTTGTATTTCTTAGTTATTTTGTTTTATCTGTTATTTGTCCCTATTAGGTTAATAATAATGCTAGAAAAACTATAATTATCGGCTTACCTAGCTTTCACGAGTAGGTGCCATCATGATTCCCGAAGGTGAAAAATTCGGGTCATGACAAGTTGGTATCAGAGCTCTAGGTTGCCTAGGTGTCACAATTCTGAACAAGCTAGGTAGAGTCTGAGGGATCAGTATGGAGATGCATGTGCTTATCCCCAGAGGCTACAGAGTTTAGGAAAAAATTCACATCTATTCTTTCTTGTCGTGCATCTTGATTTCTCAATGCTAATTGAACTTCTACTCTATTCTTTCGCAGATGGTGAGAACACGTACTACTTCATCAGTTGACCAGCAGCCCGAGCCCCCAATGGCAGCTCCTACGAGGGGCAGAGGCCGAGGCAGAGGCAGGGCTCAGCCTAGAGCTCGAGCTACAACACTAGTGGTGGAGCCTCAAGTAGAGTTTGAGGATGAGGTTCCGGCCCAAACAGTTCCAGCAGGGCCAGCTCAGGTCCCAGAGGGGTTTATCGCCACCTCGATACTCCAGGATGCTTTGGTCCGTCTAGTGGGACTTATGGAGAGTGTCACTCAGACATGCATATTTCTAGTAGCACCAGCCGTCTCTCAGGCTGGAGGAGGGGCCCAGACTCCTGCTACTCGCACTCCGGAGCAGATGGCTCCCCAATTTCATACTCCAGCAGCTCAGCCAGTTGGGGTAGTTCCGCTGGGTGTTGTGGCACCGACCGATGATGGGTTAGCTATGTCTGCTAATGCCTTGTGGAGGCTAGATAGGTTCACCAAGCTTTTTACTACTACCTATGGCGATAATCTTTAGAGGATCCCTAGGATTATTTGGACAGTTGTCACGAGGTTCTGCGAAACATGGGTGTAGTGGAGACCAATGGGGTCAACTTTGATGTTTTTCGTCTATCAGGTTCTACCAAGAAGTAGTGGAGAGATTATTGTTTGGACAGACCAGCTGGGTCACTAGCTCTAACGTGGGATCAGTTCTCTCAGCTATTTTTGGAAAAGTTTCTCCCTATTACCCGGAGAGAGGATTATCGGAGGTAGTTTGAGTGCCTCCAGTAGGGTTCCATGACGATCATCTAGTATGAGACTAGGTTTGTTGATTTGGCTCGTCATGCTCTTCTTAAGAGAGAGAGAGAGAGAGTGAGAGTGAGAAGGTTCATTAAGTGCTCCTATATATGTGTCCACACCGGTAAGTGATTCTATTGTTGTAAACCATGTCTATCATTCGTGCATGGTTGTTATTGGAGTCTTTACACTAATGTAGACGTTCTACTCCTCGATATGGTTGATTTCGATGTTATTTTGGGGATGGATTGGTTATCACCTTATCACGCTATATTGGACTATCATGCCAAGACAATAACCTTAGCTTTGTTGGGTTTGCCTCGATTGGAGTGGAGAGGGACTCCTGGTCATGCTACCAGCAGGGTTATCTGTTATATGAAGGCTCGACGTATGATCGAGAAGGGGTGTTTGGTTTATTTGGCTTATGTTCGTGATTCTAGTGCTGAGGTTCCTTCTATGGATTTTGTGCTAGTTGTTCGGGAGTTTCCAGAGGTGTTCTCTGCAGACCTGCCTGGGATGCCACCAACATGGATATTGACTTTTGCATTGATTTGGCTCCGGGCACTCAGCCCATTTCTATTCCGCCGTATCGCATGGCCCCACTAGAGTTGAAGGAATTTAAGGAGCGGTTGCAGGATTTGCTTGATAAGGGCTTTATTAGACCTAATGTCTTGCCTTGAGATGCCCCGGTGTTGTTTGTTAAGAATAAGGATGGGTCGATGAGGATGTGTACAAATTATCGGCAGTTGAATAAGGTCACCATCAAGAACAAGTATCCATTGCCAATGATTGATGATTTTTTTATCAGCTTCAAGGTGCCAAGGTATTTTCAAAGATTAATTGAGATCAGGCTACCATTAGATGAGGATTAGGACATCCGATGTCCCTAAGACAGCTTTCTGCACTCGGTACGAGCATTATGATTTCTTAGTGATGTCATTTGGGTTGACAAATGCCCCAACAAATTATATGGATTTGATGAACCGGGTGTTCAAGCCTTATCTGGATTCCTTTGTGATTGTCTTCATTGATGATATTTTGATCTACTCCCGCAACCAAGAGGAGCATGAGCAGCATCTTCGAGTCGTTTCTCAGACTTTGAGAGACAATCAATTGTATGATAAGTTTTCGAAGTGTGAGTTTTGGTTGAGTTCAGTTGCCTTCTTGGGTGACGTTGTATCAGCAGAGGGTATTCAGGTGGATCCGAAGATAGAGGCAGTCAAGGACTGGCCTAGACCCACATCAGCCATAGAGATCCGGAGTTTCTTGGGTTTGGTGGGTTATTACCGTCGTAGCCCCGATGACCAAGTTAACCCAGAAGGGTGCCTAGTTCAGGTGGTCGGGCGAATATGAGGTGAGCTTTCAGAAGCTCAAAACAACTTTGACTACGGTGCCAGTGTTGGTTTTGCCCACAGGTTCAGGGCTATATATAGTATATTGTGACGCATCTCGTAATGGACTTGGTGCGGTGTTGATGCAGAATGGAAAGGTTATTGTATATGCTTCAGGACAGTTGAAGATTCACGAGAAGAATTATCCAGTTCATGATTTGGAGATAGCAGCCATTATTCACGCGCTGAAGATTTGAAGGCATTATTTATATGGAGTGTCATGTGAGGTGTTCAAAATCACAAGAGTCTACAGCACTTGTTCAAGCAGAAGGAACTAAATTTGAGGCAGAGGAGGTGCTTGGAGCTATTGAAAGACTATGATATCACCATCTTATATCATTTGGGGAAGGCCAATGTAATGGCCGATGCTTTGAGTAGGAAGTCAGCCCGTATGGGTAGCCTTCCATATATTCCAGTCGGTGAGAGACCGCTTGCTTTGGATGTTCAAGCTTTAGCCAATCAGTTCGTGAGGTTGGATGTTTGTGTGCCTAATGTGGATGGACTTCGTGAGTTGATTCTAGAGGAGGCCCATAGTTCTCAGTATTCTATTCATCCGGGCGCCGCTAAGATGTATCAGGATTTGTGGCAGCATTATTGGTGGAGAAGCATGAAGAAGGATATTGTTGTATTTGTAGCTCGATGTTTGAATTGTCAGTAGGTAAAGTATGAGCATCAGAGGCCTGGTGGTTTATTTTAGAAGATTGAGATTCCTGAGTGGAAGGGGGAGCGTATCACTATGGACTTCGTTGTTGGACTCCCACGGAGTTAGAGGAAGTTCGATGCGATATGAGTTATTATTGATAGGCTGACTAAGTCAGCGCATTTTATTCCTGTGGCCGTCTCCTATTATTTAGAGAGGTTAGCTGAGATCTATATCCGGGAGATTGTTCGTCTTTATGGTGTGCCTTTGTCTATTATTTCTAACTGAGGTACGTAGTTTACCTCGAATTTCTGGAGGGCAGTTCAGCGTGAGTTGGGTACACAGGTCAAGTTGAGCACAACATTTCATCCTTAGATGGACGGACAGTCTGAGCGTACTATTCATATTTTGGAGGATATGATTCACGCATGTGTTATTGACTTTGGAGGTTCTTGGGATCAGTTTTTGCCATTAGCGGAGTTTGCCTACAACAACAGCTATCAGTCGAGTGTCTAGATGGCTTTATATGAGGCATTATATGGTAGATGGTGTCAATTTCCAGTTGGGTGGTTTGAGCCGGGGGAGGATCGGTTGTTGGGTACGGATTTGGTATATGATGCCTTGGACAAGGTTAAAATCATTCAGGACAGGCTTCGTACAGCTCAGTTCAGGCAAAAGAGCTATGCCAACCGTAAGGTTTGTGATATGGCATTCATGGTCGGAGAGCGAGTGTTGCTTCGGGTGTCACCCATGAATGGCGTGATGAGATTTGAGAAGAAGGGCAAGCTAAGCCCTAGGTTCATCCGACCTTTTGAGATTCTTGATCGAGTGGGAGAGGTGGCTTAAGGACTTGCGTTGCCCCCAAGTTTATCAGCTGTGCATCAAGTGTTTCATGTGTCCATGCTTTGGAAGTGTCACGACGATCCATCTAACGTGTTAGATCAGCACTGTCCAGTTGGACAAGGACTTGACCTATGAGGAGGAGTCGGTAGCTATTCTAGACCGACAGGTTCGTCAGTTGAGATCGAAGAATTTTCCTTCAATTCGTGTGCAGTGGAGAGGTCAGCCTGTTGAGGCAGTGACCTGGGAGTCCGATTCCGATATTAGCCGATATCCCTATCCTTTCACCGACTCAAGTACTTTTCTATATCTGTTCGAGGACGAACGGTTATTTTAGAGGTGGAGAATGTGATGACCCAAAGGGTCATCTTGTATTTTAGAATCTGAATCCGGGTTCTAAGGCTTTGAAAACCATATTTTCTTTCTCCTCAATTTGCGTGCACAGTCCGGGTGCATTTCAGGAAAGCTTTTATGTGAAAGTTAAGAGAAATATTAAATTTGGCCTTTAAAATTGGTTAAAGTTAACTTCAGTCAACCTTTTTGGTAAATGAACTCGGACCTATGATTTGACAGTCCCGTAGGGTCCGTAGTAAAATATGGGACTTGGGCATATATTCGGAATCAAATTCTGAGGTCCCTAGCCCGAGAAAAGAATTTTTTTAAAAAAATTATTTTTTGGAAAATAGAAGGACCTTTGGAAATGAAATGGTGTGTGATCTTGATGGTATCAGGCCCGTATTTTGGTTTCGGAGCTCGGTACAAGTTTAAAATAATATTTAAGTTGAATCTGTGAAATTTGGTAATAATCGGAGTTGATTTGATATAAATCGGACCCTAGGTTGAGAAAATAGAAATTTTGAACTATCTTATGAATTTCATGATTTTTGGTGGTAAATTCGTTGTTTAAGGTGTTATTTTGGCAATTTGATCACACGAGTAAGTCCGTATGATGTTTTTATACTTGTGTGCATGTTTGGTTTGGAGCCCCGAGGGCTCAGGTGAGTTTTGGATAGGCCACAAAGTGTTTTGGGACTTAGAGAAAATTGGTTGTTGCAGGCTCTAATATCGCAATTGCCAGGTCAGGCTTGGCAATTGCAAGCCTAGCAGGCTTGGCAATTGCGAGGGCTTTATCGCAATTGCAGAGAAGTCCAGGCCTACCTTGTTCACATTTGCGAACCTCTCTTCGCAATTGCGAAGTCATCAGGGAGGGGCCAGTCATCGCAATTGCGAGAGGAGCTGACATGCAGCAGGTTCGCAATTGCGACATCTGCACTTGATCAAAACATCTTTTAGACGGAATTTTCACTTCATTCTTCAAAATTTCAAAACCTAAACTCCAAAGGGCAATTTTTCTAGAGCAAGTTCTTTCCCAAATCATAGGTAAATGAATCTTAACTCTTTTTTTCAATCTATTTCATATTTATACACAATTTCATCTCAAAATCTAGGTTTGTTTCCATGGGAAATTGGGTGTTTTTGGGTAGAAATTAGGAATTTCAAAATTTGGGGATTCAGACCTCAAATTGAAGTTAGATTTCAAAACCAATTGCATATTTGGGTTCGTGGGTGAATGGGTAGTCGGGTTTTGGTTCGAACTTTGAGTTTTGACCAAGCAAGCCCGTGGTCGATTTTTGACTTTTAGGGGAAAACATTGGGAAATCTATATTCATGCATTAGAATTGGTTTATTTAGCATTTATTGATGTTATAAGTAAATTATGACTAGATACAAGCGGATTGGAAGTGGAACCAAGAGGTAAAGCGGTAATTGAGGCTTGATTTTATCCGTGGAATTGAGGTAAGTGTTTGGTGTAACCTTAGCTTGAGGGAATAAGAGTTGTGTCTTATTTGCTATGTGTTAGTGTTGAGTACGACGTGTAGGTATGGTGACGAGTATCTATACGTTAGTGTCGAGCATGCCCGTGAGTTTTATTCCATGATTTGTTGTGACTCTTATTACGTATTGTCCATGCTTAAAGTGATGATTATCAATGTTTAACAAGATTTATGATAATTTCTTAGTAATTGACCATTGTTGGGTATTGGCTCAAGTTGAGATTTATTTTGTGAAGTAACTATTGGAACGAGATTGGTTATAGGTGAATGCCTTGCCGGGATGCATTTGTTTTTATTGTTGATTCCCTTGCCGGAATGTATTTATTTCTATTGTTGATTCCCTTGCTGGGATCTATTGTTTCTACTGTTTGGGTGAGGAAGAGTATAAAGCACGAAGGGTGATACCGTGCATGATATTGTGAGTGAGTGTTAATGCACGAAGGGTGATACCATGCCAATATTGTGAGTGTTAATGCACGTAGGGTGATGTCGTGTCGATATTGTGAGTGTTAATGCACGAAGGGTGATGCCGTGCCGATATTGTGCGTGTTAATGCATGAAGGGTGATGCCGCGCCATGATTATGAGAGTTAATGCACGAAGGGTGATGCCGTGCCGTTTCTGTTGTTTCTTATGGTGAGGACGAGAGTAAAAACACGAAGGGTGATGCCATGCACGTGTTACTATTTCATTATTCCTATTGATACAAATATGGTGTTCATTATGCTTCTCTATTGAATTACTGTTAGAATTTGATATTTCCCGCAGCATGTTCCCCTTCCCATCTTTATCTGTTATTTCCTGTTATTATTGTTCTGTTCGTATATGATTTAAATGCACAGATTTATGTGATTGTCATATCATAGCCTCGTCACTACTTCGCCAAGGTTAGGCTCGACACTTACGAGTACATAGGATCGGTTGTACTGATACTGCACTCTGCACTTTTTGTGCAGGTATTGGTGCCAGACCTTGTGAGTAGCTTTAGGCTGCATTCAGTCCAGGGAGACCAAGGTAGATCTACTGGTGTTCTCAAAGCCTGAAGTCCCCTTTTTCCCGCTTTATGTTTTTTGTTGTCTCTCCTATCTCGAGAACAATTGTATTTATTTCAGACTTATATTTGTAGTAAATCTTAGTCGTTCGTGGATTGTGATCTATGGGGTAGTTATGTACCTGAGTTGTGGCACTGTTATATCACTTCCGTATTTATCAGTTATTTTGTTTTATCTGTTATCTGTACCTATTTGGTTAATAATAATGGTAGCAAAACTATAATTGTCAGTTTGCCTAGCTTTCACGAGTAGGCGCCATCATTATTCCTGAAGGTGGGAAATTCGGGTCGTGACACTTGAAAATTATATAAATAAAAAGATAAAACACTTCATAATCTTTCATGTCCAATAAGCTAAAAATAACCATAATAGCAAAATATTTTAACCCAATCACATAAGTTTTATAGTTCAACACTTTAAAAGTTAAAGTTTCAAATGTTGATAACAAAAAACTCCAAAAATATCGTCAACAACTCAATGTTCTTCTTAAATAAGGTCTAGATCTTCACTATCTCCATCTTCCTTTTTTTCAGTTGCTCTACCTACAAAAGAGAATAAATAAAGTCATTACATTTCAAGGGTTTGTTTACCATTATAATAAGAATGGGTATAGCAGAATTTTCTCTAATTGTAACTTTGTAGGTAGAGAATGGGTTGGTTGCATCTTCCCTTTCATTCTTCTAATTGTAACTTTGTAAATTGAGAAAATTCCAACATTTCAGCACTTAAAACATGCAATTTTGAAATAGACTGGATACAACATATCATATCTCTTAAAAAATATAATTTGTTGTAATATAAAGTAGCCAAGAGATTCTGTTTCCAACTCTTTTTGGGATCACATTCCCAGTAGGGGCTGATTTTGTTGGTCTTTTCGATATGTTCTAGGTAAACAAAGTACTACAAAGTAGGACACGAGAATTTCCACTCAATTGTTCATATGCTAACCTCACAAGAACATGTCCAATAAATTACTACCCACCAGATTACAAAATCATTAACAACAAACCCGCTTCGGCCAATCATAGATGTCCAGGAGGAAAACAAGAATAACAAAAGAAATGGTCGAAAGGGTTAACGAGACTACTAATTTTAGACTTGTAATTTTGAATGGTAGAGCGTATGTAGAAACACATGAGAAGGGATTTCAAACTAGAGATGTTTTTGCATTATGGAGCATTCTTCAGTTATTACGAAGGTACCCTGGAAAAACTCAAAGTTACAATGAAATGTTGGAATTTTCTCTACCATGAATAATACATAAAACACAAAGTTTCCGGGAGAAAGAAACAAGTTCACACAAATGAAGAAGTCAAAGTTTAGTAACAAATTTAAATCATCAAAACCAACATTATAAGCATACACATTCAGGCAAAATGAGAAGTTCTATGCTTTTCTCATTTTGAACCAACTCAAACATAAAACATAACCAAATGAACAATCTAACATAATATTGGTAAAAACATTATCACTCACTCAAAAGAGAATATATTTAAAAGAATTTCAGAAATTTCCTCTTTACTCATCTAATTCTATCCAGTACCAATCAGTATCGTCAAACTCATCCTCCTCTTCCGATGTTTCTATAATTGTATCATTTGAATGTTGTGCATTAGATGGAATATCAATGACATCAACGGTTACGCTGTTTCTAGACCATCTAACATCAGCATCAACTAATCCAGTTAAGGAACCAATGTCATCATTAGACTCCCTCCAAAATGCGTCTTCAATATTGGGGCAATTCTCTTCCTCTAAATCATACAAATCAATAGGGACTTTATTCATTGCATAATAAACATCTTTCTCAACTGGATCCTCCACATAAAAATTTGATAAACTTGTGATGCCAACATAAAAGGGTCATCTGTACTACATAATTTGATAAAGTATACACGAGTTAACCCATATTCATCTATTTTGTTACGAAACTAATCACATGTAAATAGTACAACACTAAAATAACCTCAATAATCAATCTCAATGATATCCTGAATAGCTCCATAATAGATAACCTCACCATTGACGGGATTTTAGGCCCTAGATCAAGCAAAGCTATTGCTTGTTGCCGATAAAGTCACTCCACTATTTTGAGTCTTGCATCAGAAATCACGTTCTATGGTATGGAATCGGTATCCATTAATAAAATATGCAGTATATCTTTTGGCAATTATATTAGGCCATTTGGCTAGCTATCTTAAATAATCAGGTACTTCAATATTTTTAACTTTTTCTGCAAACCAATTATTGAATTCCCGACTATGCTTCCTTGCCCTTTCCCATGGATTTTATCTACTGTGAATACCAATTAAATTCTTATGTTCCCTGCAATCATGAATTTTATAAAATCAATCATATCATAAAGGAAAAGAAATATAGAAATTAAATAAATCTTATATAATTTATCTTACTCGATAAACTTTTCCACTTGTTCATCTTCAGTATTGAACATATCATACTGATGGGTTTCATACATAACTGTGGATCCATGAGAAACGTATTTTTCTTCTTAATTCCAATTGGATCTCCTATCATAGGGAATATAGGTGACAAATTTTGAGGGCACTCATCATCCACAGTTGTGTATCTAGTGAATCTTGTCTTCACGCCATCATGTAGGTATCTCAAATAAAAATTCAAGCACTCTTCCGCCAAAAATCCCTCTGCTATTGATGCTTCTGGACAAGATCGATTGCGAACAAATGCCTTGTACTTACATAGCTTCCTCTTAATATAATACATCCAATGAAGATGAGCCGGACCCCCAAGCTTAATTTCATTCACCAAATAAATAGGCAAATGTGGCATTATGTCAAAAAATGTTGGATGAAAAATCTTTTTGTAACGATCCAATAGGTCGTTTTGAGCATTTGCACTTTGCTCGGTAGTTTGGGAATATGAGTAGCTGCGTATGATGTATTAGGACTCGTGTGTAAAATTTGAGATCATTCAGAGTTGATTTGATATGTTTCGGCTCAAGTATTGGAAGTCGAAAGTTCGAAAGTTCATTAAGTTTGATTTGAGGTGCGTTTCGTCATTTCGATGTTGTTATACACAATTTGAGGCCTCGAGTGGGTCCGTAGTATATTATGGGACTTGTTTATATGTTCATACTTGGTCCCGAGGGGCTCGGGTGAGTTTCAGATAGGTTTGGGCTGTGTTGCGCTCGTTTTTCTTATGTTTCGACGTCATTTCTTCAACCATAATTGGTACCAAATTAACTAAATGATCTCCAATTTCTATTTTGATTGAAGCATTAGATCCGTATTATAATTACGGAGGCATAGCAAAAAGAATCATCGAATTTGGACATTTTATGAGGATTTTATGGCCATTTTTCTAAGAAGTGGGTTGCTAGATTGTTTTCAAATTAATTACGAAATTGCCATTAATTCGTATTTAAAAATTTGCACTATTTTCAAATATTGAAACCAGCATATCTACTTCATTTTAAGATCAAATGGAGTGATTCAATGACCTATCTTGACTAGAATTTCACAAGGAGTCTATTGGAGGCATCAAAAGCAAGTTTCGGGATTATTTGGCATGCAAAACGAGGCAGAATAGGTAGCATAAAAATATATAAAATAAGAGTTTGTTCATTTGGTCATATTTTGAGTTGGGGAGCTCGGATATGGGCGATTTTGGAGGCATTTTTCACCATATGGATTGGAGTAAGTGTTTTCTACTCGGTTTTAGTTATATTTCATTAATCTATCTTCGTTTTTGGGATTTGATTGGTGATTTCAAAGTGAAATTTGGGGATTTTGCCTAAAGTTTCATAAAGTGATCTTTTGAGTTTTGAACATCAATTCGGAGTCAGATTTGAGTGAAACTAGTATGGTTGAGCTCGTAATTGAATGAGTTGTCGAATTTTATGACTTTTGTCGGGTTTTGAGGTGCGGTCATAGTTGGGCTATTTGGCCGATTTTGGGCTTTTGATTAAAGATTTGACCTTTTTCGATTGGGATTGGTTCCTTTAGCATTGTTTGATGTATTTGAGTTGTTTTTGGTTGGTTTCTAGCCATTCGAAAGTTAGAACACGTGGGATGGCATTTTTGGAGCATCGCTTGGCTTGTTCGATATTAGAATTGGCTTGTTCGAGGTAAGTAACTCTTCTAAACTTAGTGCTGAGGGTATAAAACCCTGCAATACGTATTGTGTGATTGGTATTGAGGTGACGCACATACTAGGTGACGGGCGTGTGGGTGTGCACCCTATGAATTGGGACTCTATTGTTCCCATGGCCCTGTATAATGGCCCTATTTTGTTGATATTTGTATTTTCATCATGTGGTAAAGTAATTGAGCTATCAATTATGCTAAACATCATATTTAAACTTCATGCTGATATTGTTTGTACTCATAGTGGTTATTTCTAGTTATCATCTCACTGATTTCCAATGATATTTTTGTACTCAGTCACATTCATGCATTCATATCATATCTCAGTCTCAGTTGTTGTTATTGATACATCATATCATTGTTGTCGGGCTAGATTCATGACATTGTGTGCCGTGAGACTAGAGAGATTGATGACTAACTGAGACCGAGGGCCTGAGTGAGAGTGACATTTTTTGGATCGGACTGCACACCGCAGCATATTATATCTATTATACTTTATGGGACTGGGCTGCACGCCGCAGCTATATATTGATTATATATATGTGTATAGATCGGGCTACACACCGCAACGATTATGGATCCGGCTGCACGCCGCAGCGATATTAGGTCGGGCTGCACGCCACATTGATATAACGCTTGGGCTGAAGGAGCCTCTCCGGAGTGTGTACACCCCCAATGAGCGCAATATATATATATATATATATATATATATATATGGATCAGGCTGCACGCTGCATCGGTTATTATACACCACTGAGTGATTTAGTGTGCTGCGTATTGAGCTTCGTGAGAGAAGATACGAGGCAATGTGATTGAGTACCCTGAGAGTGTGAGTACATGTTTCAGCTCTTGTATACATGACATTTA